ATAAACGGAAAAATAAAATAAAAGATTCCCATCCCTGGATACTTTTATTTTTCCGTTTATCATTACTCTTCACAATTTATCCTTTCATACTTCATCCCTAAGGTTAGAAATAATCGTTATTTCTACTTTAAAAAAATTTCGATTTTTCGTTCAAAAGAAACATTTGCGGTATAATTGTCAACTTTCGTTCTAAATATCTAATGTTGAGAGAAACTTTCATTAATTTCATAAAACATTTTGTCCAATTTTTTTTTAGTCTACTATTATCATCTTAATAAAATTTTATGGTGTTTGAATGACATTCTCCAATCTCGGAATTTATATTCATTCCTGAGTTTTGTGAGTTAAATATTCATTTTTGACTCGTGCTTTAGATGTTGTACAAAAATTTTAAATATCGCGTGAGAACGCCCTTGGAACTTTAGAAAGATTTTTAACGCCTTGCTAAATGTTTAATTTTTGTTTGCTCCTGACGAGGACAAAATATTTTTGTCGAAACGTTGAGGTAATAAAAAGATTTACTCTGGCCGAAGTATCTTTATTTTCAAGAAATGAGTTTAAGTCGTTTTATTCATATAGGGTATTTTATATTAAGTACTAGCGGACGTACCCGGCTTCGCCCGGGTTTTACCCGAGTAAAAGTTTGTCTAACGAATCTCTCGATAAAGTGAACATTTTTTCCCGGTCCCTTGAAAAATACTCGATAAGTTGAATAAAATCAATATTAATTGGTTCCCTCGGTAATTGGAAGTTAAAGGAATAGTATCTTGCCTTGGAATTGTATCATTATTCTTGTATGGATGTACCCGGCTTCGCCCGGGTTTTACCCGAGTAAAGGTTTGTTTAACGAATCTCTCGATAAAGTGAACATTTTTTCCCGGTCCCTTGAAAAATACTCGATAAGTTGAATAAAATCAATATTAATTGGTTCCCTCGGTAATTGGAAGTTAAAGAAATAGTATCTTGCCTTGGAATTGTATCATTATTCTTGTATGGATGTACCCGGCTTCGCCCGGGTTTTACCCGAGTAAAGGTTTGTTTAACGAATCTCTCGATAAAGTGAACATTTTTCCCGGTCCCTTGAAAAATACTCGATAAGTTGAATAAAATCAATATTAATTGGTTCCCTCGGTAATTGGAAGCTAAAGGAATAGTATCTTGCCTTTGAATTGTATCATTATTCTTGTCTCAAATAAATTGCCGTGTCATCCTGAATTTTGTCTTTCCTAATTTTCTACATTACAAAATCATCGTATCATCATGATAATATTTAGAGCAGATTGTTGAATTATAACAGATAAATTAGAATATTTATCTTGATTATTTCTAGGCGAAAAGTTATTTCAAAAATTTTATTTGCTAGAAACCTTCCCAGTACTATACTAAATAACTTCCCAAAGTTTCATGGCGATCCAATGAGTGGTTTGGTCAGGCATAAAGGACAAACAAACAAACAGACCACACACATACATTCATTTATATATATATATATAATTTGTTCAAAATAATGTTTCCATTGAGAAAAATAATACTCAGACAATACTCTATGAAAACAAAGAACTTCAATATATTATCATCTTTTGATTGACTTTCAGAGGTGACAGCTGGTGCTCTAAGCAATGTCCCAATAATTTGTCGCCTTCAGTTCCTTTAACACAAAAACTGGTGAACTACACTGCTGTAGATATAGGGAGGATTCCATCTGAAACATTTTAAAACAAGAGTGTTTTAGATTAAGAAAAAGGCATCTCCTTATCGTGCAACGGAAAGTTGCTGATGACTTGCGCCATCTATCGGAATAAATATCAACTATTCTCGTTGATTTTTAATTATTCTAGAATTGGCGTGAGTTATTCCGGAATTGGCACAGAATCGTGTTTTAGGTTTAGATAAAAAATAAATCCATTATAAAATAGGTTTTAATATAAGGTCAATGAGAAATATCTTTTAAAATATATATTCTTGTTTATATATAAAAGGGCGTACCTGGATCTGTAAAGAAAAAAAAAATTCTCAAAATATTTCGAGAGATTGCTCCTTCTTGAGAATTTTTTTTTTCTTTACAGATCCAGGCACGCTCTTTTATATAAACTTAATTGATTGAACGCCTTTTGACTCAAAATATATTCTGGATCATTGACACAGACACATAGGACACTTTCTTCACAACATAAGATTTTGCCTAGGTCAAAGGTAAAATTCTTAAAACAAGATCAGTTGGTTGAGGTCAAAGGGGAATGTCCTTAAAACAAGATCAAAGGTGAAGTGCTAGATTTTAAAGAAATATTCCTTTTACAACGTTGATATTTGAAAGTTCACTATCCTTTAAATGCGATCCCTTGGTTAGTTTCAAACTTGGTGACTTTGAAAATAAGATATTATGAGGTGAAGTTTTAATTCATAAATATCCTTGAAACTGAATCTTTTTGCTGAAAAAAAAAAGGTGAATTATCAGTCAATCAATATATTTAGGATGTGTGGAGTATGAAAATACATTTTTATATTTGTTTGAAATTTTAAAATTATACACACAAGAAACATAAAAATACATTATGATTTTAAAAGTTGCAGAGTCTTAAAAAAAAAAAAAATAGAGGACCAGACAATCAAAAACTTTCCCCTCACTTAAGTTTTGTCCATGAGTGTATACACTGCATTAATTTTAATTTTTGAATATCAATTTTGTATAAATATATATTTTCGTTGAAAATTTAATTATATAAACCATTTTTTAAAATACAAAATTGATAAAAAATAAATATTCCCCTTACTTTTTTTAATATAAAAATACTTCATGTTAATAAATGGGTGCATAGTGGAAATTAATATATTTTTTCTAAAATATTGTGGCGAAGATATAATTAATTATTTAATTTAATTATTCAATGAAAATATTTGGAAACAGATTTATTATTTGTAAAATCATCATTTAGTTACCTAGCTTGCTTGCTCAAGATTCTCTAGCTGTAGATAGTTTTGTTGATTTGTTAATAATTGTCGACTAGTCGTGGTGACGTCATCAATAAATACTTTCACATCTCCAGATATACAAAGACTTGATTTCTACACTACAATATGATTGTGCTATTTGCAAATGCATTAAAAATTTTCTGCGAACTAAGACTATTTTGATGAAAAAAATTTTTTTTTTAAATAATTATAAGAGCAAAAAATCTGAATATTAACTCCATTTATTAAATAGTGTATCTTGTGACTCAAAGGATTATCAAGAGAATATAAATCAAGATTACCAAGTTAGAGCATACAGTACCTGATGTGGTCATCACTTGGGTGCATACATTCCAAACAGAATGTGTGCCGATGTCTGTTCTTCAATCTGTAGATCTTGGATGGTAGATGACCGAAGTAGTGAGTTAGTATGTATATATATACACCCAGCATGCTTGTTAGTTAGGTATCAGTTGATTTAAATCTACTGGACATTAATTAAACAATTAAAAAAGTTTCTGGAGATGAGTTTCTTTTTAATAAAACATCTCAAGCTTTTGGGCATCTCTGCATTCCTACAGGAGAACTTATACATTGAATAGAACGCCGCTTGATGCCAAAGTTTGATAACAGGTAACATTTTATTCATTTTGAAAATAGAGCAATCCATAGATAAATCTATTCATCATCATTCATCATAAATCACACCTATATTTTACAAAAATTATTTTGTCCATAATATAAATATATATTTTAAAGATAAGTAAAGGATATGAAGCGTACGAGGATTAAATAAATATAAAGCATATATTGGATCTAAATTTATTAAACAGCCAATATTTCTAGGGGCAACACGCCTCTCTTTATCAAGGCTTTTAATTTAAACCAAATCTCAATTTAAACCAAAAGTTTAAATCAAAAGCCTTGATAAAGAGAGGCGTGTTGCCCCTAAAAATATTGGTTGTTTAATAAATTTAGATCCAATATATGCTTTATATTTATTTATATATAAATATATGTATATATCAATTTTTTTCTCCCCATTGAATATAACAAAATATTTTTAAAAACTTAATGCTGTTGACGTTATGTGGCGCTGAGTTTGTTGTTGACACACTTTAAAATGTTATAACACCTTGATAAAGGTTGGCGTTCAGCCAACTGAAATATTGGTAAAATAAATGATATTTTGATCCAATATATGCATTTTTAATTAAATATTTTATTCATTATATAAGTTCTCCTGTAGAAATGCAGAGATACCCGGAAGCTTGAGATGGTTTAAAATAAAAAGAAACTCATCTCCAGAAACTTTTAATTATTTTTTTTAAAGAAGTATAATTAGCCTAAAGATAGAGGCTGCCTGGCCGGAATTTATAGTTCTTCAAATAAAAGACACTTCGGCCAGTAAATCTTTACTTTATCTCGACGTTTCGACAAAAATATCATATAATAATCCTCGTCAGGAGTGAACAAAATTCAAAACATTTGGTGAAGCGTTAAAAATTAAATTTGATTTTATTTTTTAACGCTCTGATATATGTTTTGATTTTTGTTTGCTTCTTACGAGGACAAAATATTTTTGTCGAAATGTCAAGACAATAAAAAGATTTACTGGCCGAAGTATCTTTATTTTGAAGGAGTATAGTTAGATCTTACATCAGTATGGTATGCTTGTAGGTTAGTCGACAGGAGTGTTAGTTAGCACAGTGTTAGCATGGTGTTATCATGGTGTTATCATGGTGTTATCATGATGTTATCATGGTGTTAGCATGGTGTTATCATGGTGTTATCATGATGTTATCATGGTGTTAGCATGGTGTTATCATGGTGTTATCATGGTGTTAGCATGGTGTTATCATGGTGTTAGCATGGTGTTAGCATGGTGTTATCATGGTGTTATCATGGTGTTAGCATGGTGTTAGTAGATACCACTGAGGTATGTTAGTAGACAATATCTACAGTCAGTTAGAGAAGAAACAGATAGTAATTCTGGTTAGTAGACAGTGTAGAGATGATGGTCTCCGGGCCGACGAGCGCTGCGCTGCTGTTAGCTTCGGTAACCTAGCTTTATGAGGTCATTTCCATTCATATAGCTAGATAACCAAAGAAAATAGCAACGCCATGTTTGAAGCCCGGGTCAATGAAGACCACAATACACAATGTATTAGAAGAGATGAGTTCTATAAAGTATAAAATAAAAATATAAAAAGTACCAATGCGTTTCCTTTTATTCGTGCAAAGTGCAAGCTTTTGGAAAAAGATCCGAACACTTGCACTTTGCACGAATAAAGAAACGCATTGCTACTGTTTATGTTCTTATTTAAATATAGAATGTTGAGACAAGGGAGTACAACTCTGGATTTGTTAGGAGAGATCGAATGGTATCAGACCACTAAACCATTTCAACCAAATGAACAAATGAAGAAATAATTCCAATAGATATAAAGGGAATACACACGTAGATTGTAGATTGTGACTTATAGAATGCACCTATGTGTTAGGTATTGAAACCAAACTTAGTGTTGAAGATAGCTCACTTCAGTATCCTAAATAAAAATAGAATTTCTAAATTGAATATTTTGTTGAAATCTTCATAGCTATGTCTTAATCTGACGCAATATCATTGGAACAATATATGAGAATACTCTGGATTTGTTAGGAGAGATCGGATGGTATCAAGCCACTAAACCATTTCAACCAAATGCACAAGTGAGGAAATAATTCAAATAGATATAAAAGGAATATAGATTGCACCTATATATTAGGTATTGAAACCAAACTTGGTTGTGTGTGTTGAAGATAGCTCACTTCAGTATCCTAGCTAAAAATAGAATTTCTAAATTGAATATTTTGATGAAAGCTTCATATTTATGTCTAAGTCGAACGCAATATCATTGGAACAATGTATAGAATACTTGAAGAATATACTCAGAGTATCGGAATCTGTTGTAAGTTTGTTAGAAAATGGATAGAAGCTTATTTCGAAAAACAACATTTTATTATAGGAAAAATGTAATATCCTCCTTCAAACATGGTGTGCTTACAAGCAGAGCACGGCCATGTAGATAAATAAGCAAAGACAGACTAAACGAGATATCCTTGCTGTGGGATCTCTAAATATATTTCAGAGCTCTAAGTAAGTGTATCGTTCTAAAGGAAAAAAAATCACAGAAATTCTTCATTCGACAAAACTTCAAATGCTAAATCTCAAGTAGGAAAGTTAATCCAAAGATAATCATAATAAAATGTTGCAAGATCTTTGTTGTCATAAAGATAGAGGCTGCCTGGCCAGCATTCATAGTTCGGCAAATTAAAGATTTATTCTTATAGAATAATTTTTAACGCTTTGCCAAATGTTTTAATTTTTGTTTGTTCTTGACGAGGACCAAAGATTTTTGTCGAAACATCGAGATAATAAAAAGATTTACTGGCCGAAGTATCTTTAATTCGAAGAAAGATCTCTCTTGTATCATAAGAGTTTAATTAATTAATTGTTCCCAAAAAGTATATGTGCAAGATCACAAGTATTAAAGGTGTTAACCGTAAGAAGAAAAGTTTCTCTTTGTTTTACTATGTTATAAGTTTCTCTTTAATTTCGTTCTCTCTCTTGTAAATCAATAATGTTTAATTAACCTTCTTGGAATCAGTATCTTTAAAAATTCCATAAGCAAAGTCAACAATCCTTCCTTCAATGATTCACTACACTCTGAGACCAATAAATAGAATAAAGGAGCAGAAATGTGGCCCAGATCACGAAACACCAATTTGTAGCGTCCAGGCAGGACTAACAAGCTGCCCTGGGCACAGCGGCGAGGTGAAGCTCCCAGGAAGTACAGCCATTGTTTATAATGGACTCATTAGCTGGCGGCAACTTGGCACGAAAGTCATCCGTGGAGGATCCTCAGAGATTTACTTTCCGATTGTCTTAATATTTTGTCATGAAATTATATTCCCATATATTTCAATCTATTCTGGATCATTTTAGAGTTACAGTCTTTGTCGATAATCATGTCTAGAAACACTTGCAATAGAGGAGTGTTTGATGTCTTGAAACTCTATACTCAGAGCGAATACATCAATTATATTCTGAATCATTATAAAGTTGCAGTCTTTATCGATGTGTGATTATCTCCAGAAACACTTACTAAAGAGGAGAGCTTGATGTCAGTGGTTGTGTAATAGGTTAAATCAATGTTTAGTTGATTTATGTTCCACTAGATGGCGCTCTGCCATCTAAAAAACACATGTGCTCCTGGTCAGGATATGCTTTCATTATTTTAAATATATATAACTCTTTCTTCAAAACTCTATACTCAGAGCGAATACATGAAATCTATTCTGTGCAGTCTTTGTCGATAATCACGTCTAGAAACACAATAGAGGAGTGCTTGATGTCAGTGTTGTGTAATAGCTCTCTATAACACTTTCTTTAAAACTCTATACTTAGAGCGAATACATGAAATAGAATATTACAGCGGAGACAGGATCTTCGAATATAGCTTCTACAAGAGAAAGACTGATTCTTTGTCCATGATCATGTATTGAAACACTTGCAAATGAGGAATGCTTGATGTAAGCGGCGTGTAATACTCAGAGCGAATACATGAAATAGAATATTACAGCGGAGACAGGATCTCCGAATATAGCTTCTACAAGAGGAAGATTGATTATTTGTCCATGATCATGTATAGAAACACTTGCAAATGAGGAATGCTTGATGTAAGCGGCGTGTAATACTCAGAGCGAATACATGAAATCGAATATTACAGCAAAGACAGGATCTCCGAATATAGCTTCTACAATAGTAAGATTGATTCTTTGTCCATGATCATGTATAGAAACACTTACAATAGAGAAGTGCTTGATGTTAGCGGTGTGTAATACTCAGAGCAAATACATGAAATAGAATATTACAGCAGAGACAGGATCTCCGAATATAGCTTCTACATGAGAAATACTGATTCTTTGTCCATGATCATGTATAGAAACACTTACAATAGAGAAGTGCTTGATGTAAGCGGTGTGTGATACTCAGAACAAATACATGAAATAGAATATTACAGCGGAGACAGGATCTCCGAATATAGCTTCTACAAGAGAAAGATTGATTCTTTGTCCATGATCATGTCTAAAAACACTTACAATAGAGGAATGCTTGATGTTAGCGGTGTGTAATACTCAGAGCGAATACATGAAATAGAATATTACAGCAAAGACAGGATCTCCGAATTAACTTCTATAATAGTATTTTTGACATCTTTTATGATGAGAAAAAGAGTAAAAGAATTGTTATTTTCTAAACATTAGCGCAGAAATATTTAGTTATAAAATAATTTGTTGAATAATTTTCGATAAACTTTTGATAAAGGGTTGAGAATGAGAAATATTGCCATCGGTTTGTTATAACTAAGAATTGAGTGGGAATTCACTGAAGACAAGAATTGATAGAAATTGTATTACAACACTATTTGAAACCCCGATATATAGAGTTTCTACATTTCAATATTGGTCGCATCTATCACCGAAAGTCCCTTTACAGACAATATATATTTCGACCTTATCCAACATCTTGGATAAAAATGTTTTAAAGTTTTTGCTGTGAGCATATTTCGAATTTCTTTAATGATTCTGTAATGGGCGCATCAAAAGAGGAGGAAAGAGAGATAAATTATATTTATAATACCTATTATAATTGCCTAAATATAGATTATTCTAAAAGAGAAAGATATATTAGATCCAATCTATATTTCAATGAATTAATATCCCTTGGTAACAATTCCTAGTTCTAAGAATTCCAAACTATTTTAGACCGTATGATTCTTTTTTGAGTTAAAATAATTTTCTACTTTTTTCCTAGTTCGTTGAACTCCTACACAGATTCAGGAAATTGCAGAAGGTTTCTGGATTGAGAGAATAGATACGATCGAAAATAGTTTGGAATTCTTAGAACTAGAAATTGTAACCAAGGGATATCAATTCATTGAAATAGACTGGTTCTAATATCTCTCTATCTCTTTTTTAGAATAATCTATAATTAAAAGCAATTATAATAAGTATTATAAATAAAATTTTTATCTCTCTTTCCTCCTCTTTTGATAATTGATATCTTTTACAAGAATGTTTTGTGAGAAATTATATTTTTATAACAACATATTCATAACATTCCAAAGTGATTCATTCTTCTTTGATATTAAACAATGGTATTTAAATGTTCTGAAATTCATTTCAGTATGTATAATGTTTTTGTATATAGTCTCAACTTTTGTACATAGATATCTTTCCTTTTCTTCTCTTTCTGAGCGAGGATTCAGTTTCTTCTTCTGTTTCTAATTTCTTTTTAGATTCATTTCTAACAGGAGAATCATCTGTATAAGACGGAATGTCTTAATAAAGGCTTGTGTGTTTATAATGTCTTTGTATTATGTATAAAGTAAGTGTATTATGTATTATTATGTATTCACCGTAATACTATTATTCGCCAAGTAATAATAAAAACAACATTTTAAGAAAAACACGGAATTTTGGGAAAACCGTATAGTGTTAGACGGATTAATAACTGGAAATGAAGAAAAAGGTAACTGTGTGGTATGATCATTAAAAAATAAGAATTGTAATTTAGGGAGGACCTGTCTTTATTCCAATGCTTTATCATTAGAAACCCCACCGTAACACCATAAGGATGTCCCAAAATTTCGTCTTTTTCTTAAAATGTTGTTATTTATATTACTTGACGAATAATATTATTAAGGCGAATACATAATAATACATAATGAAATTACTTTATACATAATACAAATATATTATACACACACAAACCTTTATTAAGACATTCCGTCTTTTACAGACGATTCTCGTGTTAGAAATGAATCTAAAAAGAAATGAGAAACAGGGGAAAGAAACCGAATCTTCGCTCAGAAAAGAGAAAAAGAAGAAAAGGAAAGAATATCTATATATATAAAAGTTGAGGCTAAATACAAAGACATTATACATAACAGCGAATAATATTGGTATTTCAATTTTTTGCAAGGGTTTACGAACTATTGGGACAACCTTGTATGTCTCTTGATAACCCGGCTGGATCCTAGAGAGGACAAATTTGCTGAGCGTAGACAGCGCGTCTACAGTGGCATGCAGTAGACCGTAAAAAGAGGGAACATCAGAAAAAATAGTTCATTTGAAGGGAGCCGCTCCATAAAATTGAATCGGTCTCGTTAAATCCACAGGCACCGCGTGAATGGGTAATTATCCTCGGTGTGAGTGGCCGACCGTGTCAATGCCCCGTCGATATCGCCACAGGCCGAGGGACAGGTTCCATCTCAGAGTCTCTCCAGCGGCTCTTCTTTCCCATTAGGAAAAGATTTTGTCTCCACTCAGCAGAATTTTTTACCTATCCTATCCTTGTGACTAAAAACATTCAACGAATTCAACACACATACCCATTATTAATTCTTCTTTAAATTATTATATAATAAGGCAAAATAGCCTAGCTGCGAAAGCTTTAGACTTTAGAACCTGATGTCCCTGGTTCGAACACGCTTTTCGCTATCTTTTTATTTTCTCTAATTATTTTTGTGATCTCTTCCTCATTTTGTAAATATTGACTGAATTGTCAATAAATTTGTTTTAATTGTCAAAAATTGTCACATACCCGCAATTTCAATTTGATATCAGCTTCTATTACGGTTTTTGAAATGCTGGCAAGAGTGTACGTTGTTAAAAAGAGCTGAGGAATTTCTGTTAGAGAGAATGTATTGAGGCAGGGTTGATTCCTTGTCAGGTATTCTGTGAAAGAGAGAATGTATGTAGACATGGTTCATCCATTGTTGTGACGGTCGGTATAAGAGAGAATGTATGTAGACATGGTTCATCCATTGTTGTGACGGTCGGTATAAGAGAGAATGTATGTAGAGATGGTTCACCCATTGTTATGACGGTCGGTATAAGAGAGAATGTATGTAGACATGGTTCATCCATTGTTGTGACGGTCGGTATAAGAGAGAATGTATGTAGAGATGGTTCATCCATTGTTGTGACGGTCGGTATAAGAGAGAATGTATGTAGACATGGTTCATCCATTGTTGTGACGGTCGGTATAAGAGAGAATGTATGTAGACATGGTTCATCCATTGTTGTGACGGTCGGTATAAGAGAGAATGTATGTAGACATGGTTCATCCATTGTTGTGACGGTCGGTATAAGAGAGAATGTATGTAGACATGGTTCATCCATTGTTGTGACGGTCGGTATAAGAGAGAATGTATGTAGACATGGTTCATCCATTGTTGTGACGGTCGGTATAAGAGAGAATGTATGTAGAGATGGTTTATCCATTGTTATGACGGTCGGTATAAGAGAGAATGTATGTAGAGATGGTTTATCTATTGTTGTGACGGTCGGTATAAGAGAGAATGTATGTAGACATGGTTCATCCATTGTTGTGACGGTCGGTATAAGAGAGAATGTATGTAGACATGGTTCATCCATTGTTGTGACGGTCGGTATAAGAGAGAATGTATGTAGAGATGGTTTATCCATTGTTATGACGGTCGGTATAAGAGAGAATGTATGTAGAGATGGTTTATCCATTGTTGTGACGGTCGGTATAAGAGAGAATGTATGTAGACATGGTTTATCCATTGTTGAGACGGTCGGTATAAGAGAGAATGTATGTAGACATGGTTCATCCATTGTTGTGACGGTCGGTATAAGAGAGAATGTATGTAGACATGGTTTATCTATTGTTGTGACGGTCGGTATAAGAGAGAATGTATGTAGACATGGTTCATCCATTGTTGTGACGGTCGGTATAAGAGAGAATGTATGTAGACATGGTTCATCCATTGTTGTGACGGTCGGTATAAGAGAGAATGTATGTAGACATGGTTCATCCATTGTTGTGACGGTCGGTATAAGAGAGAATGTATGTAGACATGGTTCATCCATTGTTGTGACGGTCGGTATAAGAGAGAATGTATGTAGACATGGTTCATCCATTGTTGTGACGGTCGGTATAAGAGAGAATGTATGTAGACATGGTTCATCCATTGTTGTGACGGTCGGTATAAGAGAGAATGTATGTAGACATGGTTTATCCATTGTTGTGACGGTCGGTATAAGAGAGAATGTATGTAGACATGGTTCATCCATTGTTGTGACGGTCGGTATAAGAGAGAATGTATGTAGACATGGTTCATCCATTGTTGTGACGGTCGGTATAAGAGAGAATGTATGTAGACATGGTTCATCCATTGTTGTGACGGTCGGTATAAGAGAGAATGTATGTAGAGATGGTTCATCCATTGTTGTGACGGTCGGTATAAGAGAGAATGTATGTAGACATGGTTCATCCATTGTTGTGACGGTCGGTATAAGAGAGAATGTATGTAGACATGGTTCATCCATTGTTGTGACGGTCGGTATAAGAGAGAATGTATGTAGACATGGTTCATCCATTGTTGTGACGGTCGGTATAAGAGAGAATGTATGTAGAGATGGTTCATCCATTGTTGTGACGGTCGGTATAAGAGAGAATGTATGTAGACATGGTTCATCCATTGTTGTGACGGTCGGTATAAGAGAGAATGTATGTAGACATGGTTCATCCATTGTTGTGACGGTCGGTATAAGAGAGAATGTATGTAGACATGGTTCATCCATTGTTGTGACGTTCGGTATAAGAGAGAATGTATGTAGACATGGTTCATCCATTGTTGTGACGGTCGGTATAAGAGAGAATGTATGTAGAGATGGTTCATCCATTGTTGTGACGGTCGGTATAAGAGAGAATGTATGTAGACATGGTTCATCCATTGTTGTGACGGTCGGTATAAGAGAGAATGTATGTAGACATGGTTCATCCATTGTTGTGACGGTCGGTATAAGAGAGAATGTATGTAGACATGGTTAATCCATTGTTGTGACGGTCGGTATAAGAGAGAATGTATGTAGAGATGGTTCATCCATTGTTGTGACGGTCGGTATAAGAGAAAATGTATGTAGAGATGGTTCACCCATTGTTGTGACGGTCGGTATAAGAGAGAATGTATGTAGACATGGTTCATCCATTGTTGTGACGGTCGGTATAAGAGAGAATGTATGTAGACATGGTTCATCCATTGTTGTGACGGTCGGTATAAGAGAGAATGTATGTAGACATGGTTTATCCATTGTTGTGACGGTCGGTATAAGAGAGAATGTATGTAGACATGGTTCATCCATTGTTGTGACGGTCGGTATAAGAGAGAATGTATGTAGACATGGTTCATCCATTGTTGTGACGGTCGGTATAAGAGAGAATGTATGTAGAGATGGTTCATCCATTGTTGTGACGGTCGGTATAAGAGAGAATGTATGTAGAGATGGTTCATCCATTGTTATGACGGTCGGTATAAGAGAGAATGTATATAGAGATGGTTTATCTATTGTTGTGACGGTCGGTATAAGAGAGAATGTATGTAGAGATGGTTCATCCATTGTTGTGACCGTCGGTATAAGAGAGAATGTATGTAGACATGGTTCATCCATTGTTGTGACGGTCGGTATAAGAGAGAATGTATGTAGACATGGTTCATCCATTGTTGTGACGGTCGGTATAAGAGAGAATGTATGTAGACATGGTTCATCCATTGTTGTGACGGTCGGTATAAGAGAGAATGTATGTAGACATGGTTCA